TAACCGACCAAATACCGGTCCGGCCTTTCTTGCTGAATTGTACACGATCGCATTTTTTGCCCGTGAGCCAAGGGCTTGTCAACAACACGTCTGTTCGGTTGGCGATTTCCTGTGCGGGATGGGACCGAGGCGGTTCGGGTGAAGCCGTGTCCGTCTAGTGGATCAGGAAACACGTGACCAGCCCAGGAGCCAGAACTGCTCTTTTGTTGAGTTGCCAGCCCAGTCCTCTGGGGATCGGGCTTCTCTCCTCCCACTTCTCGGAGGCCGGTGTTTTTTAACGGATGCTGAGGAGGGGGGTACGAGTTCTGTCCCTTTCGGTTTTCGATTGCAGGCCGGCTGAACTGATGAATTCGTACTCTTGGCCTGCTTTAAAAGTCACTGGGAATTTTTTTTTGTCATAGTGGAAACCGGGGAGATCAGTCTAAATACGTGTCGACTTAAGATTTGTGTTCTGTATTTCTCTCCAGTTTACTTATAATTGGTAACTCGTGCTTCAAACAGGCATTAATCTTTATATTGTGTATTCAAGATGGCACCCCGGGTTTCGTTTTCTCATGTTTAGGCCGCTTGCCGTACGAGCCCTGTGTGCATTTTTGTTCACTGGCTGCACTATATTGTAAACAACTTAATAAATAGCAATCGAAGAGTCGGTAGATTTTCCCGTGGATTCGAGTGATGTTTATACTGATTTCTTGTTTTCTAGCTTGCTGGCCTAGACTTGAACTCCGCAGCTGACGGACAGGGCGGAGGTGGCGCAGGCAGTGAGTATTTCAGCTCCTGGTTACAATTAATAAAGTGGTGTTGGGCTTCCCTCTGCTGGATGAATTAAATCCCTAAAGTGCTAAGGGATATTTAACTTTTAACTGCCTTTTAGTCACTTCAGGGTTGTCTTGATTATATTTAATACTTTAACATATACTGACTTTGGTGTTCATCAGGGTTGGGAATAGTTTTGAAGACTTGTGAAACTGTTAAGTATAGTGTCTTCTAGCTTCGTGAAAACTAGAGCTTTAAAAGATATTACATTGATTAAGCCTGAAGTTGTGTAGTACAACACATGGCCATCTGCATTTACACCATGTACAAGTGGTCATGTCAGTTAATATTTCAGACCACATGATCACTGTTTAAAATATGTTTCTATAAGGGTTTTTGTATTTTGTTTACGTTTAGGACGTTACATTCCACCTCACTTACGGAACAAGGAGGCTTCCAAGAATGGTAAGTGCTGACCAATCCTTCTTTCCTATGGGAAGAGTTGGGAATATGGCTTAATAGCCGAGACTGTTTGCTTAAGATCATTCATGTACAAATTTCTTCTACCTTCCAGCCAACTTGGAATTGTTTTGGAAAAGGTTTGCATTTTGTTATTCATGTCAGATGTCATAGCACTATGTACAATCTGATGCATATTTACATTTGCCAAGAGCTATCCTCAATCCCACAGTAAATGAACTTGCTCAACCCATGATGCCACAAGTTTTCTTTTGAGTTTATTATAACATCCTCTTGTAATCCCCGAAGCATAATACAAGGAAGAAGTAAATAAAACATGGTTTGGGTGCAGATACAATTTGTTTAACATTAATGTTATACTTCAACCTACTAGTACATAGACCTTGGGTACTTTAGTGTTTTAGAATGTAAAGCTGTATTATAGGTACAGTTATCTGCACCTGGTATTTGTGAAACTGAAGTTTTTT